AAATTAAATCCTCTGATAAAAACTACAAAGATATACTAGCTAAATTTAAAGCACCTCTTTTTTAGAACAATCCTCTACCAGGTATTTATTAGATTATTATTATTAAGTCTCTAATTATCCAATTCTTGTCATATCACAAGAATTAATATTGGAAGCATAAGATACTCTTATCTTATAAGGAGAATTTATGAACCATTAAGGAAAAGATTTAAAACCTTTATTCAAATCAAAAGGAAGTTTCTTTTTGGAAGACCTTAAATAAAAGTGATAATTATTATTCATAAACAACATTACAACAATTATTATTTAAATTCATTCTTTATATTTTTTTAATTATATCTTTTTTTGGCTTTATTCTTAATTTTGATTTCTTGAGATTTATACAAGTTTTTAAAAAGTATTCCATTTTAAGAAATATAGGATATATTTATTGAGATCTCCTTAAAAACAAATTGATATTTATTAACATTTATAGAGATTTAATGTTAAATGATACTACATTAAATTAATAATCCAAACAAAGAACAGTCAGCTAAATGAAGAGATTAAAATAAAGATTGATTTTAATTACTTAAAGAAAATTTATTTAACAAAAAATTCTTTTTTTAATACTTCTAGGATATTATATGATAGATTTACTTAATTTATTATTATTTATAACTTGGATTGGTATTTTTAAATTTAGTTTTTAGTTCATAAATAGTATACTAAGCTTATTCAAATTGACTTGAAATTTTTTAATTAATTTTATCTTAAGAAAATAGATGTCTATATAATGTGATACGAATTTAAGTTGTTTCAAAAAGAAAACTGCTAATAGATTAAATAAATTAGTAAAATTTATAAGTAAAAAATATTCAACAAAAAATGTTAAACATATCTCAAACTATTTGACAACAGAGACTGATAAACTCTTCAAAAATAAAACTAAAAGTATTTATAAAAATTATTTATCTTCATAACAAAGCCTTAAAGTCAAATTTGTACACAAAATCTTATTGTGTTAATATTACTAAATTTTTCGTTTTGAACAATAATGTAGTCAGATTCTACTCTTAAGGATTATAGCTAATCTTACCTAGGCCATTACAGATAAGAATACGCGAGGTATCAAATTTGGATCTAACTTATTTGTTTATCTAATTTATTGACAATATCAATTCTTCATTTAATGAGAAATTCTTTAAATTACATCTACAAGAAGAAAAACTCAATTAGCTAATGGTTAGTGAAATACATAATTAATCTAATGAAAGACATCCAAAAGAAGCTTACCAATAATCAAAATAAAAAGCATTATATTTGAGGAATCTTTTTTATTAATCAATTTTCATGAAGCTATTAAGGAGTAGGCATAACAATAACAATGATTGAATGTATAGCAGAAAAATTTAGTTACAGATCATAATCTACAATGAGGAAAAAATACTCTAAAAATGGATCCTAATAAAAAAATACCTCAATAATCATTTACCAGAAAAATTAATAGAAATTAAATGCAATTAGAAAGAAGTAGGAAAATGTTATAATTTAATAAAAAATCCTTAATCAGTAAATAAAGCCTCATATATCCTCAGAAGATAAATATAATATTGAAAATGCAGATAATAAAACCTACTAAAATTGTGACGGAAACAAAAAATCATACCTTAAGAATACTGATGATTATTTCTACATATTCTCACATACTTATAATGGTTACAGTATTGCTAAAGTAAATACTTGTTAATACGCATTTCCTACAATCTCTTTGTTCCGACCTATTACCATTCTAGGCTATTTTTATCAATTCTTTGAAATTCCTGCCTAAATGTATACTTTTTACCTTTCTTTTTTTCTCTTCTTTCCATGTGGCAACCTTTTTATTATTTTAAATATCCTATCTTCCAATTTTTTTACCTCTATGATAATTCCCACAATAAATGATTTATGAATCCCAATCACAATTTTTATCTTCCTCTATCCAATAACCAATTTTTATTCCTACTATATTTGTAGGTCTATATCTCAAAAATTATAAGGGCAATAGTAATTTAATTCCGATAAACGATGTATGCTTGGATTAATTCTTGTATAAAATGTCCATCTTTCAATATTTTCGCCATTTTCATATTGACCATTACAAGTTATTTAAGAGGAAGACTAAAATCCCTCAAACAAATCAGTCCATTAGCCAAGCTTAATTTCCCCTCTTTCATCATAAAATCCACCAGCACTAACGTTAATTACATACTTTATAAAATCTTTTTACATTATTCTCCAATTCTACTCCATTGTATCCAAAATTACGAAACCATTTAAGATATTGAATTTATTCAAACTTATTTAAACACTTAAGGCTATTTGGTAGCATCTATTATATCATCGCTATTAAAATGAGGTTTGGATACACTATAGCATCATTTTTTGTGTATTTAATTTTTTTCCATTTGTAAACATTAAAGCAAAACCATCAATATTTTTTATCTATTCTTCAGTATTTCTTATCTTAATAGTGATTTGACTTATATTAAAAAAAAAAACTCTACTAAAATTAGCATAGATTGAAAACCCTACTTGTAGGATTTTCAAAAATTAAATTTAAATCAATTCAGAATAGTTATTCAATATTTATTCTGCATTAATCTTTTAGAGAATTATCAATAGTGAAATATAAAGCAAAACTAAATGAATATTATCTTTCATCAATAACGTAAGCAGATTAATAAAACTCTAATTATATTGCTCTGGATATCACTACTTAACAATCAGTAGTAGGAACTTAAGAAGCACAAAAAAGTGAAAGTAGAACAAATCAAGTAGTGATTATAAACCTTCATAAGAATAAGAAAACAGATAATTGAAATAATTAATTAATCTAAATTTAGTGTTTCGACATTAAGAGAATACTTCCTTTTGTAATAAAAATTTGGACAATAGATAGATAAGGACAGACTTTTACTTAATAATAGTCTATGGTTATAAAAATTTAAAGTATTTCTTGTTTAGAGAAAGAGAGAAATATATTTTTGATTTAAAGGATGGTTAAAGTCTAAATAATAATAATATTAATTATATTTTAAACCTTATATTTCTTTTGATTTCAATACAAGGAAACAGGAAAGAAATGGAAAATTTTATTGTGCCATCAAGTTTATTCTATTTTAAATTTTTTATTTTAAAATAAAAATTTAATTTAAAAATCAAATCTATAAAACGAGATCTACAGTTTTTAAAACTTATAGATAATAAGTTTATTTGAACAAAAATTATTCTGTAACTTTGATTAAGATGTTAACTAATTACTTTCAAATTATTCTATCAATTACTATAGTTATTATTTTACTATTAATCTATTGAAAATTCTTATTATTGTACATTTAAATTAGATTTTAAATAGCATTATATTATACTTTGAATTTTGTTGGAAATTCACTTCAAACTTCATCCTCTTGATTGTTTTTTTATAAATAAGATATGAGTTTTATTTATAGTCAAATTGGAAGACTTATAAATATAATATACTAAGATGATTTGGTAGATTATTTTACCTAGGTTATATATCCTTATTCTTCTTTGCATCTATTTTCTACTGTTAATTTAGAATTCAGAGTTTAAGGTGTATAAATTAATTAAAGAACTTAACTTCTTAAATTGAGATTAAAAAATAATATAATATTATTTAATTAATTGAATTGAGAATTAACAGTAGCTATTTTAATTAAGAAGACTAAATTTAATCCTTGTATTGCCGCAACAGCTGTAATTTACATATTTAGTTCATAATTAAGAATAAAATATATAATTTGAATAAATTTACTAAACATCTACTTATAACAAAATTTAATCAATGGGTTCATAGAATTTATTTCATACACAAATATATCAGGTTTCAAATTGATTCAAGCTAATCTATTTTTCTAATTTTTCTACCTCTTATTACAAACGACAGCAAATTTAATTCCTTGTTTCTTTTTCTTCGGGCTTTTCTCTAAAAAATTCATATTTAATTGAAAAGTTGAATGTCCCATTGAGGTTATTTATATAATAATATAAGAAAAGAGGCTTATTTTTGGGAATTGATTAAATTATCTAAAAGGAATTTACTATTCTCTCACTTGTTTATTATGAAGATACGGTTGTTGTGAAACGAGTACTTGTGCATTTTATAACAATTTTTATTAAGAATTCAATGCTCTCTATTAATCATATCAATTAAATAAACTAAATTAGCTAGATTATTATTCAGCAAGTATAAGTATGACTACTATCGGATTAGCCATAGGAACTTATGCATCTTAAGCGCATCTTATAGATTATTGACCTTGTAAATTTTTTTATATTCTTTGCAAATGATTAGTAAAATAATATAGTTAGAATGTACTTATTTATATTGGAATATTCTAAATAATGTGAAGTATTATTAGATAAATGTTAGGAAATAATCAGAAAAAGATTTCCCTAAATTGATCAACCATCCATGTTTGAAAAGATTACTTAGAGTAGATTATTTAACTTAATGAAGGTAATTATGATATAATTATATCTTCATTTATTTTCCATAATTCAAAACTTATTCTTTAGATAGGTAATAATCAAATCTCAAATTTCTTCAAAAGTAACAAAATATTGTTGTGGATAGCAAAAATAATAATTTCTAATGCATTCAATATATATCTATAATTACAAAATTGAATTATGTTTATATTATTCATCTTAAACATTTAATGACTTCATTAATGATTGGATTCCTCTATAATTTTGAATTAATTTATCAAAATATTCTATTTTTTATGAGTAAGTGATTAATATTATATCATTTAATCAAATCATCTACATTTAATACTGCATTGTCAATATCATATAATTTACAAAAATATTTGAATTTAAGTTTAATTTATTTTTGCATAAATAACTAGATTTATAATTATTAAATTTGAATTTTATGGGAACATACTTTATTTATGAAATTAAATAAATATAATAGATAAAACTATTTAAAATTCATTTAAAAAAACAACCAAATTAAATATAATAAAATAATTAACAATTTTAAATTTAAATTTTCAACAAAAGATTTCATGTCTATTTATTTATTATTTTTATCGATTTTCACTAATTTTTGATTAGATCATCTTTATTTTTTTTAAAATTTATTTGCAAAATACTAAAGCTAAACTCAACATTAGTATGCCCATATGAAAAAACCCCATTAATAGTTAAGTTTAATAAGAGAATAAATTCTCTTTATAATAAACATATGTAGTTAAGCTAAATAGTGCTACAGTAGCTTCTGTAAATATATTAACAAACTTATCTAATTTGTTAACTTATTAATATTTTTAGATAATAAAGCAATGAAGAATACTATTTATTGCTATTAATAATGACTGAATTATAAATTGATTTTAAAAGAAAACTATCACAATATGGAATATAAATATTCTAATAATATCTAATGTTGCATATCTCATTTCAAGGAAATACTGATTACTATGCTAGTTCCTTATAATACTGTTGTTATATGATTGCAGAATAATTTTTAAATACAATGCTAACATAGATAAACTGCAAATATATTAAAAAAATTCTCTTGCATTTTATCTTTTATTGAAATGTATTTGCAATAATATTTTAAAAAAAATATCCCAAGCATTTAAAGAAAAAATTGGTATGATTAATCTCAAGCTAAATTAATGTCTATATTTTATGATTTTCTTTATTTATGTTCCAATATTTAAAACAAATTATATAATTGTCTAATTAATTCTCTTTGGATTTTATAAATCATGATTAGAAAAGATTCTTGAAAAAAGATTTTAATACATGATATAAATTTTCTAGCTTTTTAATATTAGAGTTAAAATTAAAATAAGCTAAAAAAATTAAGGTATTAAATTTAAAATAAGATCGCAATCTACTTCATATATTGCAAACTTTCCATTTGTTTTAATTTGATTCTCTTCCTTTCTTGTAATAATACCTAGAAAATATTCTATCTACAAATTTTATAAGTAATTGGATATTGATAACATCTCAGAGGTTTAAAAATACATATATAAATTTTCTGGATATTCAAGATTAATGAATTTGAGATAGGATTAATATTAAAGAGTGCTTAAAGTTTCAATAAATAAAGAGGCTTCACCAAAAATTAATGATACAGTAGAAATAGAAATTGCAGAGATCATAAATGCTATATTGGTTTTACTTATGGAAATGGCTTTTGATTTCAGTTCTTAGCTCATAATTCTAGGAATATAAAGCAATATAGATCTCTATGGTTAAATAATAGTTTAATTATTAAAATTAACAACATTCTAAATCAAAGTAATTTATAAATTAGGTTTCTCTTATAACTCTAAATATATTTCTATGTCAATAACATATTAGACATCTTGTAAATCTTAACCGATACCTAAAATTGTATAAAGCTATATATTATAATATTATTCATTTAAATCTTAAATTAGTATTTCAAATATCTACAATTATTCTTCATCTTGTAATGCTGCTAATTGAACTTACTAATCAAAATTAATTTCAATATATTAATGATTGAAAGTTTAATTTATAAAAACAAGTCTCATTTATGGCCTAAGTGAAAATGCACATTCATTATTACGACAAATTTCATCTTGATTTTAATCTATTTTTTTAGATTGTTGATTTTCTGTTACGTTATATTCATTTTTAATACATTTATTATCTTCTAATTTATATTCTTCGATACATTCTACACATATGCCTTACAAACAAACACTGCAAAATTTATTACATTGAAATTAACAGTTTGAACATCCATCAAAATCTATTTAATTACCATCATCACATTCTTCATCACCATTTAAAATAGTATCCCCACAACAAGAATTATTAATCAATATAGCACCTAATTAACATGATTCAATAAGACAAATTCCTTTTTCACATAGTATACATTATTAATTACATTGAAATTTACATTCATTACATCCATCATATGGAATAGTATTAGAGTCATCACATTCTTCATTACCTGCTACAATACCATCTCCACATAAATTAACACAACTATTAGAATTGTTCTCATAATATAATCCATCTTAAGGTTCACAAGATTATACAGATTCACATTTTTCTTTTGATTTAGATAATATAAATTTTTCTTAACATTAAACACATTTTCCAAATTAACAATCAATACATTCAATTTCACATTAATATTAACATTAAAAACATCCATCAAATTCTATATTATTTCCATCATCGCAAATCTCATTTGAAGCTAATATATTATCACCACAAATAGTATTGCAAGTATTGCTTATCATATCTATATAAAACCCAGATTAACATTCTTAGCAAATCCCAAAAATACATGATTTACAGAAATCTGGACAAATTAATTTACAATTATAACATTCATTAGGAAGCCAACCTTTCCCGTCGTCGCATTCCTCTTCCGATACAATAATATTATCTCCACATTTTGACATACAGATTTTTCCATAATAACCTTATTAACATTCCATACAATTATTAAATATACAAATCTTACAATTTTATGGACATCTATCAATTACAAAATCTTGATTTGTAATTAAATCAATGAATGCTTCACTTTGAGTAAGACACTGATTATCTCTTAATTATACACAATTTTGTTAGATCTCAAATTAAGTAAATTGAATTTGGATGCATTGATTATATATATTGTCAAGTTCGAAGTTATTTTAACATATTACACATATTCCATTTTGACAGAAATCACAATTTTCTGGGCATTGTAGACATTAATAACATCCATCATTACTAGATATAATATAATCACATTATCCAAAAGGGTTAGGAATATTATTATCACATTTTTATTAACAAGTTGATATTACTAATTAATAATTATCCAAACAATTCAAACATTTTCCTTTAATGCAATTTAAACATGAATCTTAACAACTATATTAACAAAAATGGCATCCATCTCCTATTATTAAATTACCATCATCGCATTCTTCATCAATTGTTATTATTTAATCTCCACAAATAGAATAACAAATATAATCAAATATTTCATAACCTATTTCACATGATAAGCATCCTTTACCTGTTGTATCACATATTAAGCAAGACAATTAACACTTTGATTTACAATTTTAACAACCTCTGTATGGCAATATAAAAGTGTCTTCACACATTTCTTTTTCAACTAATAAGGAATCATAACAAATAGGTTCACAAATACTATTAATAAGTACATATCCTTCTTTACAGGACTTACAATCTGTATTACAACCTATATCATCACAAATTTCTGTAAATTTTCCAGATGGATCTACTACAACAAAACCATCTCCACAATTATTTTCGCAAAAATATTGATTTGGTATGAATCCTGGAAATTAACAAGATTCACATATACTTGCCAATTAATTGCATGATGAGCAATCAATACTACATTAAAATCTGCATTCCTTGCATCCATCATTATCTAATTAATTGCGATCTTCACATTATTCCTATCCTACCAAAATTAAATCTCCACATCTCTCCTTACATCTCCATGTTTATGGATCTATGTACCACCCTCCAGCACATTCTTGACAATCACCTAACTAACATTTTGTACAAGATTCTTAACATTAAAATTTGCAATTATAACATCCATCAAACTAAATATCATTACCATCGTCACATTCTTCTTAGTCAGTAACAAATCCATCTCCACATACATCTGAAAAAGGAAGTTAAACATCAGTACAAGAATTAGAAAGTTGATTATACAATTGCTAATTTGGGCATTGACAAGTAGTGCCTACCTATTCAATACCGATTATGTCCTTGCAAATTTAGCAATCATGAAAAGATGGTCCATTACATACTTTACACAACACATGGCATTATAAACAAATTGAACTGCTTGCTACTGAGTAATATTCCGGCATACAAACGCATTATCCATTTTTTGGCTCTCTAAAATCAGTAAGGAAACATTCTATACAATAGCTATCACTTAAACATTATGCACATAATGTAGGGCAATCTTTGCATTAATTTGAATCCTCATATTAATTTTATTTACAAACGCAACCTAGCTTAGTTAGAGTATAAGAAGTTTAACAATCTTGACAATCAATTGGAGAAGTACAAGAAATGCAGGATGATGGACAATTTAAACATTTCACCTCATTTCTATTGTAATATTAATTGCTTTAACATTCAGACTAAGAAAATTTTAAAAGATTTGGATCTTCTACTACATCATCGAATATTGTACAAGAAAATTCATTTATACATTATAAGCAAAATGGCTAACACTAGTGAACTGCAATGTAATAATTATAAACTGCACAATATGATGTAATAGGTTCGTTGTTAACACCCTAACAATCCCAAATCATTTTTAATGAACCAGCAACATGGTTTATTTTTTAATAAACTTTGTAGGTTTTTGTCCCATCATCATTTGGGTTTGGCACATCACTAATCGTAATTCTTACACTAGGATTGAAATCAATAGTGTAAACAAACGATCCAGAAGAAGGAAAATTGGGACCAAACAAAATATAAAACCCTATAGTAATACCGTGATGAGGATTTTCTATTTAATGTACTCTTTAAAATTTAGCTTAAGCCCAAACATAAGGACCACCAAAAACTCTATAAGATTTCCAATATGAATAAAAAATGCTGGTTCCTTTTAAAAAATTTACATTAGGTGATGACGATTGTGTTAGTATACTATATTTACTTATCTATGTAGGATCATTGGCATAATCAATATATTCTTTTACCAAAAATATTGAATCTATAAATAATGGTAAATTGTTTTACATGGAGTTTCATCGTCGAAATCTATACAATGAGTTTCATTTTTTTTTTAGTATGGCTAAACGCATGAGTGAATGTAAATGCATCTACCATCACGATATTTTAAAAATTATTAATCACAAATTTCACACTCGAACGATACGACACATTTTTTGCAAAATATTGGGCAATATCCAGCTGTGACTGAAATTGAAATCAATCCCCAGCCTGCACTATTATCTCTAAAGATAATAAAATATTAAATACGTAAAATTACTCTAGGATGAAAATAAAAATGGATATTAAGGTATGTCAACAAACATGTGCAATTCATATTTGTAACAATTTGAATATGTAAGGCATGGCTCCAAGGAAATCACATCAAATATTTAAACATTGTGCGTTTATATTCCTGAGGAGCTTCTAAATATAGAACCATAATATGTATTGTTAAGTTTGATTGATATGCCACCTTCCAATGGAATATCTCCAAATATTAAAATCATTATTTTTAAGCCAATTGATTTCGATCCATCAGCTTAATTTATTTCATTCACAAACCTTTAAATTCCAGAATTATATTTGAAAATACCATAAAATAACATGCCAACATTAAATTAAAGACAAACTGTTGTATCAAAGTGGTTTTTATCATATTTAATTGACCATTTTAGATTTTCAAAATAGAATTAATTATTTTGGAATTAAGTCGACTGAAAATAATTCACTTAATAATATTATATATTACCTGGATATTCTTAACAGAATCCATTCTTAAATAGTTTGGAGTCAAAATCGCACAAATTTCTACATCCCAAATATTTTACATAGTATTAGTTAATTGGACATGGTGGACAAACATTATTTGATATTGTATCATAAAAGCAACTCTAACATTAATTATGTTCAGGACCATTGCAAGTCATACAAGAAGGATAACATTTGATTTGAGTTGTAAAAATATTTCTTATAGATACCATTCCATTAATATTGGAAGATTCAAAAGACATTTTTCCTGAATATGAGTTCATGAATTAATAATTAAATGTTTTAACTTCGTATGGCGTATTATCGCAAAATCCTGATGTCTAATAAATAGTCGGGGATGTATAAATTATGGTTTCGCTAAAGCTACCAATTTTCATTGTTACAGGTTAATTATTCCATGTACCATGAAAATATAAATCAAATGATAGAACTTATCCCTTTTAATAGTTAAGCCAAATGATATTTTCAACTTTAGTGGTATGCTAATCTAAAGTAATATAACTTGTAAGTGGACTTTAACAATTGATAAAGTTTGCAGTCGTATATTATGTCCCAGATTTTATAAAATTTTCTGTGTATAAGTAAGCTTAATCGTTTGTAGCTTCTTAATAAATTTAGTTAGTTATCAATTAGCTATCACCTGGCAACCATTATGAAGCAGATATTTGTAGTAAGATTATGAAAACAAAAATTTACATATAATATATATTACCTTGTGATGTCATCAAAAATATCATCTGATTTTCATCAAATAATAATATTTATTTATTTTCTTGACAATTTTTTGATATTAATAAACTTTACCTTAAAAGCAATTAGGCTCGCTTTGATAACCATATTTCATTACATCTAAAGATTTTTCAAAATTTTCATTGAAAATTTTGTAATTTTGCATATTAACCCTAAAAATAAAGTTATTTTTTTTCATTATTCTTAGGAAAACTAAGAAGAATTTCAACTGGCCAAAAACACATTTTAGTATTGGCCTACATTTAAATAATAATAATTTGACTTTAGCCTAAAGAATTGAAAAATTATTTGGATATTCTCATTGTGAGAAATAGTTAGACAAGTAAATTAAAATACTTAAATGAATAATAAATAGTTTAAGAAAGTAATCCAAGATGTTTATTGAAATATTATATCAAAGTAATCTAGCTGATATTTGAGAAAAATTTGTAATTTTGAAATAATTAAATTATTTTATAAACATATTCAAATACATTTATTTCTCCATTAATGATACTCAATATAGGATTTATTAGGTGCATTAAAATTGTGCTATAGGAACTTATAATAACAATGGAGAATAGCAAATAATAATTGATAGCTCAGGTGACTTAATTTTAAAGTTCATTCCATATTCTGTTTACACAATCTAAGTCATTTTTGATATTTAGTACTTTATGATGAAATATTTACTATATATTACGATTTTCCTATTTCAGATTCTTCATTATAAACTGTTTCTGTTTATTTGATCGAGCATGAGATATCAACTCTACAATAGATAATTTTATTTTGATTTACTATAAAGGAATCATTAAAAAAAGGAAATTGGTTGCTACAACAAAGCAGAATCTGCACAACTGATATTTTAGAATATCCTTTTAAGGTTGAAAATGTAATTACAAAACAATTACCAGTTTTAAAGTAATTTTTTATATCTGCACGATTTAATCCTTTTTGAAATGGAAATAAGATAATAATTAGAAACTTTATTTATAGGGATTTTTTGTAATCCCTTCTGTAAGACATGTTCTGAAAATGATCCATATAACTGCGATCTAAGAGTTTCGTCTAACTTCAATATTTTGAATACCTTTTCATCAAATATCCAAGAAATACCTTAATCAACTTTAAGTCATTCAAAATTTTCTTCATATTGTTTTGACTTAAATAATTATATATATATTGCCGGACTCTTTAGCCCCTAAACTATTTAATTGCCTTTAGGCTTGCTCAATGCATTATCATAAATTTATTTAAAAATTACTTTATATCTAATTAATTTTATAAAAATAATCTTTATTTTGGATATATCTAAATTAAATACCTTGTGATTCAAATAATCAATTTATTTAAACAAATAATTGTATTTTTTTACAAAATTGTTTTTGAGTATATAAATCGATGTTAATCAATGAAATAAGATTTATATTTTAGAGTTGAATTAATAATATATCCATCTACAAATAATCCAGTTTTAGAATTTAAAGTTACATGTGAATACTTAAATAAGCTAAAATATTATTAGTATACTTAAGATAGTGAATGGGGATTTAATAATATAAATATTGAAAATGGAGTTTGTTAATTAAATTTGCTAAGTTTGTTTGATATATATACATGTAAAATTTGTGATGAAGGATTTTTAATATTGGGAAATGAATGAGTAAAATAAGTTTCCTATATCATTAAATGATTGTTTAGATTATGTAAATGAATTACCATGTAATAAATAATCTTATAATAGGTTCATATTAGGGAATTCATTTTATGACTCTAATATGGCATTAAATTATATACATCTCATTTTGATAATTACACAAAGTCTTATATTTATAAGATTTAATATCACATTTGGAGATGATTTTGATGGGGTCTTTAATTATAACTTAGATTCTACTTAATGATAGATTATTTATAGAAAAAAAACAAAGCGATGATTAAAATTTAATTGGCAAAGAAAGTATAATGTTTATTTTTTAATATTACTGACACACAATGAATCAATTAAAGATTGATTTTAAATGTATTACATAACAAGATTTAAGAGATGGATTTTGCGCAATATCAGAATATTTCATTATAATGTTTGTACTACTTGATGTTGTTCTAAAAATAATCATAAATTTTTATTGTACTTCAAAAACTAATATATAATTGTGTTCTACACCAAAATATTGGAATTATGACGCTGTTTAATCTAAATATATATGTTCAAATTGAATATTGAGTTATTGTAATCAATTAGCAACTTCAACTCAAAGTAAATTTGCTTAGATAGATTCCTACTAAAACATGGAAACTTTATTTGTGATTAGACTCAATATCGAATAATAATTTCATCCATGTGTGTTTGTAAAAAGGGTATTATGAGGATTCATTAGCACAATTCTGTTAGCCAATAAGTGGAGATGCATTTGTAGTGGAATTAGAAGAATGTGATGATGGAAATTTTTTTATCCTTTTGATGGGTGTAATCAATGCAAATACGAATGTCAAATTGAATGCAATACATGCATAAAGGGATTTTGTTACTTATTTTAAAATGGATATGTAAATATTTAATTTAATGTTATCCGTAATGTTTATTCAATCATAAATAAATATATCCATGTTTTGATATTGAAAAAATGAATTATTAGAATAATACTAAGTATCTGTGTTTATTTCATAATCGGTATGTGGAGATTTCTTAATTGATTTATTCACTAAACAATGTGAAGATGCGAATATTTTTCCATTTGATGGTTGATATATTTGCTAATTTTCTTGTCCTGATGAATGATAATGTTGTGCCTTAGGTATTTGCTTATAATGAAATGAAAATTGTGGTTTAGTTTATAATTAATGTAATGCTATTTTTTGAAATGGATATGCATAAGGAAATGAATTATCTGATAATGGATAAATAGATATCTAATAGAATGGACGTTATGATTGTTAATATGTTTAAGGATATAATAAAATCGATAAATAATGCTTTAATAATAGTGGAGAAGGATACAAAACAAAACAATTGATGAAGAATTGCTTCGAGTTTAGAAATTATGATAAATATATGGGCTTTCCAGGCAATATTTCTATACAAATTTCTGAAATATCAATTTAGATATAATTCTTATCCATTCATCCTTGTTTTTTTATTAAGCCAAATTATTTCTGGAATTTCGCATATTTAAGCTATGTGTGGTCTTCATTAATTTCTAAAAGAGGAGAGAGATCTTGAGTAATTTAGGGCCCTCCCACACAACCAGCCTAGGTTTTCCTAATCCCGCTTTACGACTCTATACTTAAGAGGTGCACGTTTCTTGTTCTTTTTGAGACTAGAATTCTAATTTTTGGTGCCTTAGAATTTTGGTTTCATTCAAATCACAAAATAACCGTTTTTTATTATTGACTACTTGTTTCAAATACAGCTTTGAAAAGTTAAAGTATAAATTTATATTTAAATATTCTTTAGTTCATTGAATCTAATTATATTTTCTCCCATAATTGATGAAAATAAGTTTGATAATGATTAATAAAAATATTTTAAATAATAAAACGCTTAAACCTGATATTTTTTTATTTAAAATAAAACTATTTTACCTCTAAATTTATATTTTTTTTAGAAAAGAATTTTAGATCTTATTTATTTAGTAAGCCCTTAATAATTTATAAAAGAATCTATAATAAATTTGATGCTTTTAGTTATGGATTTTGGAGCAAATACCTTTCTTTAAGTATAATTTCCTAAATTGGATTGATAGGAATGTTTGATAGTCACTGCTTTCTTTAAAACTCAATTATTGAAAATACAAATAAGGAAATTAACTTACTCTATTATGATTTTGTTGATCAACAAACTAATACTATTGAAAAGAAGGTTTAATTTCTAAGTAGTGATAATTAAATGTACAATTATAAATATGAAATCAATCCTTTAATGTATGAAAATTATTGGTATTTTTTTGGACTGAATATTGTACCTACTGAAGGAAGTTTTGGATTTTTTATATTTAAAGGGGAAAATTAAAAACAAAAGAACAATTAAATATTTAAGGTCCTTTTAAACATTAAGATTTAACAATAGTTATAGGAGGTGGTTTAATTGTATAATACATAAATATTCTTTACCTTATAGAAGAATCATAAATACTTTGGATTCAAGAAGTTTAAAAGCTTTCTTATTTTCATGGAAAATTGGCAATACCGTTGTTTAAGTTTTACTTATAAGATTCTTTGTGAATATATATCATCATAATTATTTTGTCTTTAATATGGTTATAGTAAAAAATTAAAAGAGAAAAAAACATAGCAAGATAATTGTGTTCTATATTAAATCCATCTATAGACAATTTATAAGAAAATTATGATAAGTTTGATTGTTTCAAGTATCTCTAACAAATGTATAATCCAGAATGTATTAGCAAAACTAATTCATTAAAAAATTTACCAGAATTTGACATTTTCAAATTAAACTATGAAGTATTTGCTTCAGAAAGTATAAATTGTGATGAATTTTAACTTGAAACTTGGATCCAAATTTAAAATATTCATCGAGAAGATTAATCATTTATATATTAATTGTTAAAAATATCAGCAAATTTCGAGAACCATTATGCTAAAAATGAAAATTTATTACCATTTAATTATTCTATAAATTTTCAAATTCATAAATTAGATTAATTGTGACTACATATAGCTTTTTATTTCCACTTGTTGATTATGATTTTAATAAGTAAAGCTTTTTGTAATAAAAAGAATGGAGTATCAATAAAATTAAATTATGGTATTTCTTATATGTCTCTTTGAGTAATAACTTAATTTAAATAAAAATTACATTTTATGAAGGATTTGATTAAACCCTATATGAAACTTAATTTTTAGAAAATTAATTCCATGAAGCATAATTTAAATTGTAATATGGAAATATATTAAAATCATCGACTAATTATTTGACTGGAATTCTGAAAAATATGAAATTTAGTAATTCTGCATCAGAAGTAGATATTTTCAAAGGTTGTCATCATAGTTGCGAATAATGTGAAGGTCCTACAAATAAAGATTGTTTATCTAGTTCAAAAGAATCAAAACGAATATATTCCATAATTTAAAGTTTGTGTATGTCCATTTGATTATATTGATGATTTAGAGTGTAAGAATACGGAAAACTACTGGATCCAGAATCTGAAAATAATTCAACATCAAATTTTCGTTAAGGATTTACTTTTTTTATAAAGGATACTATAAGAACATGTTTGGAATTTATTCAAAATCCTAAAGGTTGGCAAAATGATCCATACTGTTAAACTAATCTCTATATTGATAAATAGGGAAGTCCAGCACAATATGAAATTGATAATGTAAAGACAGATTATATATTTGATGAATTGATATTAAGCCATAGTAATTGGGTTTATATCAGAATCAATATCAAGATCAAGATCAATTTGATTCAGTATATTTAGATTTTGAATAGACAAATAAAAATTTTCAAAGATTTTACTCATCTTCAAAGAAAGCTTTTGAAAGTTACTTATGCAATCTTAAATAGTGTGAAATTTGTATAATGTTAATTACAAAATAAATTTGCTAAAAATGTTCAAATATATCGAGATTAAGAAATGGAATTTGTAAGAAATCGTTCGTGAGGTCATTAAAAAAAATAATTGCTAAACTCCTTTTTATATAACATCTGAAAATCTTTGTAATTTATGTGAAATAGAAAATTGTTAGTTTTGCTTTAAATATTCAAGTAATGATTTAACTAAATGTACACTATATAGTGAATTTTAAACATTTTAAAAAGATGAGTTTCTTAAAATAGGTTGTGCATTATTTTTAGATGGATTTATATTTGATTTTACAGTAGGTAAATGTATTTATTAAGAACCAACATTACCTAATTGCAAGAGATCTTTTATAAACCCATTAGGTTAATAATTATGTAGGTTATCAGCTATTTAAGATTTTGGAGTTGCTCCAGAAATAACAAACTGTTAAAAATATATATCTAATTGTAAATAATGTATTTAAACACGAGGAGGAGCTTTGTATTTTTCAATTAATAACGATTAATTTAATATATTTCAAACAATTCTTTATAATAACAAAGCTAAATAAGGAGAAGAAATTTACTTATAAGGTAATAGTAAATTAAATTAAGAAATTTTATAAAATTATGGATGAAACTGAATTCATCATCTCTTTTACCTAATAATCTTTAAGAAATGCCAACTCATTTATCTTTATCAATTAATAATATCGAGATGAAAACTATTTAGAAAAAGATTAACAATAAAACATCAAATATTTTGTTATTGTAACCTTATCTTGTAATTGAATAAGGAAAGGTACAATTAACGAAATTATTAATCTTACCAAGCAATTAAGAAATTATTAATTGTACAATATATAATCCATCATAACTTAAATTTGAGAATAATTTAGAAGAATTTTCAATATCTTATAAAAATAATCTTAATGAAAAATTACCTAATTTTTCTAATTCCACATGTGAAATTTTTATGTAAACATTAATAAATGATACTCTAATTGATTCGACAAATATTGCAAATATTGAATATCATTCTGAATCAAATAATTTTGATTTAAGATTTTTATCTATAACTATTGATCCATACAAATAAAATAATCAAACCAATTAAATTTAGATTTTTTGTCACCTTAATGATTAATCTGACACTTTGTTATATTATATTGAAATTAAAGGTTTTATGTGTTAATTAGGGGAGTTTTATTTTTATCAGGTTGTTAAATATGTTAACCAAGTTAAGGATATTATTCTGTAACATATTATAAAAATAATTATTAATTTATAAAATCAAATATAATTTACAAATACAATTTCAATTTTAACAGTTTTTATAATACAATACTACAAAATGTTCAATATTTGATTAAAATGAATTTNGATGAGTTTCTTAAAATAGGTTGTGCATTATTTTTAGATGGATTTATATTTGATTTTACAGTAGGTAAATGTATTTATTAAGAACCAACATTACCTAATTGCAAGAGATCTTTTATAAACCCATTAGGTTAATAATTATGTAGGTTATCAGCTATTTAAGATTTTGGAGTTGCTCCAGAAATAACAAACTGTTAAAAATATATATCTAATTGTAAATAATGTATTTAAACACGAGGAGGAGCTTTGTATTTTTCAATTAATAACGATTAATTTAATATATTTCAAACAATTCTTTATAATAACAAAGCTAAATAAGGAGAAGAAATTTACTTATAAGGTAATAGTAAATTAAATTAAGAAATTTTATAAAATTATGGATGAAACTGAATTCATCATCTCTTTTACCTAATAATCTTTAAGAAATGCCAACTCATTTATCTTTATCAATTAATAATATCGAGATGAAAACTATTTAGAAAAAGATTAACAATAAAACATCAAATATTTTGTTATTGTAACCTTATCTTGTAATTGAATAAGGAAAGGTACAATTAACGAAATTATTAATCTTACCAAGCAATTAAGAAATTATTAATTGTACAATATATAATCCATCATAACTTAAATTTGAGAATAATTTAGAAGAATTTTCAATATCTTATAAAAATAATCTTAATGAAAAATTACCTAATTTTTCTAATTCCACATGTGAAATTTTTATGTAAACATTAATAAATGATACTCTAATTGATTCGACAAATATTGCAAATATTGAATATCATTCTGAATCAAATAATTTTGATTTAAGATTTTTATCTATAACTATTGATCCATACAAATAAAATAATCAAACCAATTAAATTTAGATTTTTTGTCACCTTAATGATTAATCTGACACTTTGTTATATTATATTGAAATTAAAGGTTTTATGTGTTAATTAGGGGAGTTTTATTTTTATCAGGTTGTTAAATATGTTAACCAAGTTAAGGATATTATTCTGTAACATATTATAAAAATAATTATTAATTTATAAAATCAAATATAATTTACAAATACAATTTCAATTTTAACAGTTTTTATAATACAATACTACAAAATGTTCAATATTTGATTAAAATGAATTTGAATCTATAACTTCAAATTAGATTTAACTCAAGAATGGTTATTGGAGACCTGATTATTAATCTGACTTGATTGAACATTGTTTTAAATTTGTTGATTTTTGTGAAGGAGGATGGGTTGTGTCACATGATTTATGTTTAGTAGGACATATTGGAGGTTTGTGTGAAGAATGTGACATGTATAATATTTGAGGACAAGGAAATTATTTTAAAAATGAAGAAAATACATCTTGTCAAGATTGTTAAGATGCAAATAATAGTGTATTTCCATTTGTTCTTACCTCAATATGGTATTATATAATTATATGATTTAATAGTGTCCTTATTTCTACTCTTTTAATTTTAAGAAGTACTGATAAGTCTAATAAATTATTTTCTTCATTGAAAATAAGATAAAGATTTGTGAAAATAATATTCAAACTAAATCGAGGTAATATTATATATATATAAAGATAATGAAAGTATCTTACTTAAATTATTTCTTAATTATTTATGGATATTTTCAGTAATTTTTACTTTTAATTTTTAATTTTCATTTACATTTATTAGTTAGACAAGTAACACATCATACTTATGGCTAACAATATGGATTGCTATTTATCATAAATCTATAATATATCTCTAGTTTTTAATAAAATAATCACGATGACCGTATTAATGGTGTGCTAATTATTAATAATATATATGGGGTTTAAGTTATATTCAATAATCAAACACTAGAAATTTACTAGCAGTATAATATCTACTACACTCTTGTACTTATATGTTTCAAATTATGCTTCATTAATAAAGCAGTGTAATTAATTAATAATTGTATTAGACTTTTTTCATTATTGGCTAAGAGGATAATATCTGAAATAGAATATATTTCAGGAGATGTATAATTACTTTATAATTCACCAAGTCATAAAAAATGGATAATTGGATTTGTTTTACCAGGATTAGGATTGATTGGATGTCTCATCCCATCTGCTCTCTTTCTACTCTTATAGAGTTAATCAGATATTATTTTTAACAAGAATTTATTTTATAGGATATATTTTAATAAAAGTTTTTGCTATTCTAAAGAGACAAACTAGATAAGATAAAGTTTAGAAAGCATATATGTTATCTATTCAATGAATATAATGATGAAAATTACTTTTGAGAATGGATAAAATTATGGAAAAAAACAGTAATTATCCTTATTATGACATATTTTGAAACAAATATACTTGTAAAGGCTTCATTGCTTGGATTATGTTTACTACTGTATTAATTATATGCAGTAAGATAAAAACCTTATATACTTAAAATTTAAATGAATTAGATGTATCAACAGGATAAATATGTTCCATTGAAATATTTTTCGCTTCAATTAAATATATAAATGAATAATAAGGAAATAAATCTACCTCTGTTCTAATCGAAATGATTTTAATTTTACTCTGTTTGAAACAAAGTTATCTTTTTGTTATTGATTTATTAAGAGTCTATTATAAAAAATACAAAATTTTGCTATTAAGTGATGCATTGAAAATAATAAATTGCAATTTGAGCCTAACTATTTATGTAAATAGAAAATTAAATTAAATGAAGGACAATAATATATATTTCTATAACGAGAATAAAAATTAAAAAAAATTTAAGAAAATTAAGAATTCATTTATTATAAATATCAAAATTTTAATTAGAATAATAAAATAACTTTAATTTATTAAATTTTTAATCAACATCTAGGCCAGCACTGGCTGGTCTTAAGTAAAATGCATATAAGATTATTAGATTAGATACATACAGAAACCAATATTTATGAATTATCTAATTTAAAGGTTATTATTACTTTTATAATATATTATTTATATACACTAATAATATAACTATTCTATTATTCTATTGTTGAAGTTCTAATTATCGCCTCACCTTTAGGTAGTTATCTATTCATAATAATATCTTAACAATCTGTATGACTTTTGATTAATTATAAATAGATTATTTGGCATATTTTCCAGAATTAATTATAAATAATTGTAGACATTGTTATGTATTTCAAATATGTCACAATATATATTAAATAAATATAAATATAAATATAAAGAAAGTTTTTGTATCATAATATGTAATAATCTAAATTTTAAATAAGGGATAGATTTTTAGTTTATGTTATTTTTAAACTATTTATTTACATAAATATATTGTAGATATTAATATAATAAGAAAATCACATTTTAAATAATTAAATTTAAATTAATGAATACTGAACCAGTTTAATTTTGCTTAATTTTTTTTTAAACTTTAAACATTCATTTAGCCTAATTTAGAAATTACAAAGAAATGATTTTAAATCGATTTTTGAATAAATTTTTTAATAAGATTATTTAATTTTTAATTTAATTTTTAAATACACTTAAATAATGGTCAAAGCACTTTCTTGGCATGAAACTAATCTAAGATGGTTTGTATTATGTCTAATTGGTGTTTATCCATTAGCTCAATTCCTAATAGCTGAATTTCCTGCATTATTAGGAGAATAAATAAAGAACTATTTTTAGGTGACTTAAGAAGATGTTAATTATTTACTATTATTTGAATCACTTCCAAATATGATAATGACATTAGTAGGAGGTTTAATAATTGATGCTTTTGGTGTTAGAAGATCATATGTGCTTTTTGGAATAGTAGTTATTCTTGGTTAATGTATGCTAATATTTATAACCACATTTAGTTTTGTGCTTAATTTCTGTATTTTTGCAAAGTTTTAAATTAATGATCATTGGAAGATTTGTTTTTGGAATATTTGAATCTAGCGGATGTGTCGCAGAAAGTTATTACATTAATAAATGGTTTAAAGATAAAGAAAATTCTTTTGCATATGGGTAATTATTTATAAATAAATATAGTATCGATACTGCTCTTTGCAGAATTGGATCAATAACTGCTTCCATTTTATACCCTTTCTTATATTCAGCTTCTGATAATGATTTATCTAGATGTTTGCTTATGTGCTTTAAAATTGCAATTTTTAGTTTTATTACAATTTTAATTCTAACTTAAATTGACAGATTTAGTGATATGAGAGATAAAGTAGAAGATCAAAAACTGGAAAGTATTGATCTTAGATAAATAAAAAATTTTAGTTTAGAATTTTATATTACATTAATAAGTTGTGCAACATGCTATTCAGTATTCTTTATATTCAGTTATAATTCTGTTGAAATGTTTAAACAAAAGTATTGTTTATATAATTATATCATAGTTTTAAATTGGATTAGAATACAGCTAATATTTTATTTAGTATTCCTTATTATCTCTCAGCATTATTAAGTCCTATTGTTGGCTATTATTTATAAAGAATAGGAAGGAATATTGAAATTTTAATAATTGCTTGTAGTTGTCAATTATTAACATTGACTATGTTCTAGATGTTACCAGAGTTTGATTCTCCATGTTTAATATTTCCATTGATTGGAAGTATTTTAAATGGACTCTTCTTTGGTATTTATTTTGCAGTTATGTGGCCATATATTCCCAATATTGTGCCATCTCATATGGTAGCCACTGGATTCGGATTAATATATAGTTGTATTAATTTAGGTATTAATTATCTTTTATATTTATTTTAGAATTGACTTGTTTCTCATATATCGTTGCCAATATTTTGAGAGTTGAGAATTATGAAAATTATCTAAAGATGAACTCATTACTTCTTCTATTATCATTTATTGGTTTCATTTCTCTGATCTATTTGCTATTTAGTAATCAATCAAAACAAAGAAATTCAAATCATTCTTAATCAAATGAAACAGATTCCACCATCTAAATCGAGTTAATGGTGCTTTGTAAATAAACTTGATTTTTATATTTTAATTTGTGTATATTAATTATTTATCATTATATAATAAAAAAATCACTATTTTCTAATATTACAAGCATCTCTTATAATATAATTGTTACACATTAGTCAATCAAAATCTAATTATAAAGAATAAACCTTGCAGATATAAAATATTTTAACTTCTATTTATAAATCAAAATTGTGTATTAATTTAAATTATTTTGATTTTGTTATTTATTATTAATCATTATTTCATATTGAATTATTTAATTCAAATGAAGGTGAAATCAGTTAAATTATGGTTTAATTAATTAAAAATAAAACAAATAAATGAATTCATATTTTATAATATTTATTTATGCAATCTCATTTAATCATGTTAGAAATTTTATTTTATTGATTTATTCAATCTATTGATAAATTCAGAAATAATATATTTGTTCACATTTGATACAAAATTAATCATATATTTATTAATAAGCATGAAGTTAAAATTATTAATCAGTTAAGAAATGATGTCTCTCTTTTAATACATTTCATTTGTTATTACACAATTTATATTAGGTATTGAAAATTCTGATAGTTCTAATAATTGATATATATTGTTAATAAAAGAATGAATTAAAGGTTATTATATAAACACCTTATATAATTATTTTAATAATATTATGTTTATAAAATGTGCTGAATATAATAATCATTCATTCTTGTTATTACTTATCAAACTTCATATGATGGCAAAATTTATTAAAACTCTTTTTTATGTTTCTTTTTCCAATGAACCACTAAATCTTATAATCTTTGACGTTTTGACATACATAGATTGCATTTTATTGAATCATTTTAGAAATCACCAATTAATGAATATTTTATTTTCTTAGTCATTTAAATGTGATACTTGTTGATGTTTTGTTTTCAAATTATTATTCTTATTATTTATCATTATTAATCTAAATTTATTGTTATTATACTTTTGCTTTTTATTAGCATTTCTTTCTCACTTATTTTTCATTTTTTAATGATATTTTTTAGTTTTTAATTTTTTCATTTTATTATGATGATTAATAATTATCATTCGATTATTNTATTTAGTAATCAATCAAAACAAAGAAATTCAAATCATTCTTAATCAAATGAAACAGATTCCACCATCTAAATCGAGTTAATGGTGCTTTGTAAATAAACTTGATTTTTATATTTTAATTTGTGTATATTAATTATTTATCATTATATAATAAAAAAATCACTATTTTCTAATATTACAAGCATCTCTTATAATATAATTGTTACACATTAGTCAATCAAAATCTAATTATAAAGAATAAACCTTGCAGATATAAAATATTTTAACTTCTATTTATAAATCAAAATTGTGTATTAATTTAAATTATTTTGATTTTGTTATTTATTATTAATCATTATTTCATATTGAATTATTTAATTCAAATGAAGGTGAAATCAGTTAAATTATGGTTTAATTAATTAAAAATAAAACAAATAAATGAATTCATATTTTATAATATTTATTTATGCAATCTCATTTAATCATGTTAGAAATTTTATTTTATTGATTTATTCAATCTATTGATAAATTCAGAAATAATATATTTGTTCACATTTGATACAAAATTAATCATATATTTATTAATAAGCATGAAGTTAAAATTATTAATCAGTTAAGAAATGATGTCTCTCTTTTAATACATTTCATTTGTTATTACACAATTTATATTAGGTATTGAAAATTCTGATAGTTCTAATAATTGATATATATTGTTAATAAAAGAATGAATTAAAGGTTATTATATAAACACCTTATATAATTATTTTAATAATATTATGTTTATAAAATGTGCTGAATATAATAATCATTCATTCTTGTTATTACTTATCAAACTTCATATGATGGCAAAATTTATTAAAACTCTTTTTTATGTTTCTTTTTCCAATGAACCACTAAATCTTATAATCTTTGACGTTTTGACATACATAGATTGCATTTTATTGAATCATTTTAGAAATCACCAATTAATGAATATTTTATTTTCTTAGTCATTTAAATGTGATACTAAAAATCCTAAAGTTTTTCAGGTGATACTTGTTGATGTTTTGTTTTCAAATTATTATTCTTATTATTTATCATTATTAATCTAAATTTATTGTTATTATACTTTTGCTTTTTATTAGCATTTCTTTCTCACTTATTTTTCATTTTTTAATGATATTTTTTAGTTTTTAATTTTTTCATTTTATTATGATGATTAATAATTATCATTCGATTATTAGTTGATTTATTCTTATTTAAAAAGAAATCTTATAACAATTTTCTACTTTTTTGTATTTTACAATATTTACTATTTATCTGAAACTAATTTTTCAGGCACTTATTAATTTTATTAAGAAAATTGATTATTTTATTATTATATAACTGAAAATTATGATTTTGAATCTTTTTTATGATCTTCATTTCCATTTTAATTTAAAATTATTGCTTTCTAAGCATCATTCTATACACTATTCTCTATAATCTATTGTTATCCAGAATTATTATTTTTTTCATATTAAATTGAACTAAAATTTTCATTTGATGTTGATTTAAATTTAATATCAATTTCATTAATGTTCTTTTCCACTTTATAGATATTAAATAAGGGATTGAAATTATTTTCTTATTTTGAATAAAGTTGTGATACATCAGACTTTTCAGAAATATCTACAATTTTTAGTGCTTGTTTATTAACAGATTAGAGATAATCTATTTAGTTAGTTAAATGGTTATTATTTAATGATATAGTATACAGTTTTTTATTTGATTATTCTTCCAATCCTAAAGTTTATTATGATTTTTCAGATATCATATTATTTTCAATCTTAAAATTGTAAATACTTCTAGCTTAATGAGAAAAAAAGGCTGTTTCCTATTAATTGTTGAATTACTTAGAATTATACAAAATATAAATAAAATTACAATAATATTTGAATGATCAAAGCAAATCTATATTATTATAATTTATAGATTACTTTAATAATAAAATAAATTTGATATTATGAAATAGACTATTGATTAATTTATTATTCAAGAATAAATATAATTTTTTATTTTACATAATTATGAAATTTTTTAAATTTCAAAAATAATAAAAATCCATAACTTGATTTATTGAACATAACTAAGCAAACCCTCGTTTATATTAAAATAAGTTTTGGATTCTAAATCTACTTATTATTGTATTTTTTTACATTAAATGAAGTAATAATAATAATTTATTGAAATTATATCAATAAATATTTTAAAAGATAATTTAATTATGAATTTGTTTAATTTGAAAATATGTTAATCATTAATTTTCAAAGTATATAATAGTCCAATTCTATTTTTTCAGGAAAAGTATTGCCATTCACATAAATTGTATTACAAGTTGATATATTTTTGATAACTTTTCAATTTGATATAAGAAATTATATGAATTTGCTTTTGAAATTTACTAGAATTTTAGCTAATAATTGATGTTTTATTTCTCTGTAAATTAATTAATTAACACCCCACTCTGTTCAACTCAAAAAAATTCCAAAAATTATCTAAAAATAATTATGTTAAATCGTATATAAACAAAATTGAAAATTTAATTGACAACATTATTTAATAATAATATATAATAATTTTAATTTATTTAAACAAGTAATAATTAAGGTAAACAAAGTTTAATATCAAAATTTCATAAATTTAAAAAACTAATTATATCCTATGAACAAACTCTAATTGTATTTGTCTATATATATATGTTTAATAAATAAAATGAATTAATATAAAAATAATGATATTTTAAAAATTATGAATCAATTTCAATCATTTTCATTTGGATCTTTAAAAAATAAATTATATTCTTCTTGTCTTTTCCAATTAAAAAAGCGTTTAAAGCAATCTTTTATTTTTTATAAGTACTCTGATGTTTTCTGTAATTTTTCTTTTTATTCTAAGATTTACAGTGTGTATTCTTTTTATTTTATTTCTATTGAACATGCATCAATTTAATACTTAAGATCCTCAATTTCTTCTTTTAATAATTGTATATTTGGTGATGATATTTAATCTTTTTATTATTATTGTCCTGATTGATCTGATTATTTTTATTATTATGTTTATTCTTTATCTTTTAGGTTTTCTAATTTTTACTGCTGTTCCTATAATAAATTTTAGAATTTTTCTAATAATTCTTTCAACTTAGAAATTTTATTATTAATTTTTTATGTTTCAACAGTCTAAGTAAATATTGATAAAAGACTTAATAATTTCAGTTAAATCTGTTCTAATAAATTTATTTGATAATAAAGAGCATCTGGTCTAAAATGGGCTATATTAGTTGTTTATTTTTTAATTTAACTCCAGTATTGTATAATCTATTTCATTTCGAAATTCTTAAATTACTAATCCTCTAAATTATTTTTGTCAATCTATAAAAAAAAATCTCTGAGTTCTTATGTAATATTTATTAAATTTGCTTCATTGTTTTACAGTTGTTATTGTTAATCATTATACTCATAAATTTATTCTAAACAATGGTGTTCATAACAATAACTTCCACTATACTTTTCTAATTATTTCCAAGTCCATAATTAATAAGACTTTAAAGTTATTTGTAATAAATCTTATGGGATTTAATATTCCTATAATAAAGGATTATTTTAATTAATAAAATTTTCATATTCTATTAACTAGAGGGAAAGTTCATTAAAACATTTTTATCTAAATTTTAAAAGGGGTCCTATTGTTTCCAAATACTTAATTTTTTGAGAACTAAATAGTTAAAACCATTTGGATTATTTAATTTCATCATATCCCCATCTTTTACTAGGTTCAGTTTATAATAAATTTATTAATAATTCTTTTGTGTAAAATTATAATTCTAACTTTTGAATTAAGGCATGATGATCATTTTTATTATTGAAACGATCACTATTTTATTTATAATAATTATAACCCTTTAACAAACAAAATAATAATATGCCTAATGACCAAACTTCATTTTTCTCTTAATTATATTATTCCGAAAATTTATTTTCTGGACTTTAGAAAGACTAGATATAATTATACAATTTACATTAGTTCCTACGTTTAAAGTTACAAATATTCCTTCTAATATGTAATTTGCCATACCAAAATCACAAACTTTGACATCAATTTTATTTTTTTTTTTTTTAAATAAAATATTTTTAATATTCATATCTCTATGAAACAATCCTTCTTTTATACCTGTTGATCTAAAAAATTATGATTTTTCCAATAATAATTCTACTTCTACAACTTACTAAAATATATTTAATGCCATATCCTCATTTACTGGTAAATCTGTTCTAGTTTCTGGATCCATAATTAAATCTGCTAAACTTCCATCGCATAATTCAAAATAAAAATCCAAATTTTCTAGATCATCTAACTTTTAATTTTTATAATTTAAATTGGTTCCATATAATTTAATTATATGAGGAGATTTTACAGATCTATAAACTGATTATTCTCTTTTAATTAATTCATAAATTCTATCATTTATAAGCTTCTATTTAGGTAATTTAATTCTCTTTAAAGCTATTTCTATTTTCTTCTCACATCTATCAGATTATTGAATTACTAAAACAGCCTTATAAACAATTGCTTAACCACCTCTTCCTAATTCAATCTCTTAATTATTTATTTTGCAAATATCAACTTATTTAATAATTGCCTTAGTCCCATGATAGATCAAACTCATTTGAAGTATAATAGTTATTATTTATTTTAAATAATCATAAAAACTAATAGTATTTGAAATAGATATAAATGATAGAATAAGCATTTATTAAAGATTTAATAAAATCAAAGTCTATTAATACATCTAATAGGTAATATATTAAGATTCTATAATAAATTCAGATATTTTGTTTATATTTATTTTCTCTAAATTCTATAAACATTTGTTATAAAGAATTACTCTATATATGTAAAATAACATAGAATGAAATGTGTGTATACAATTATTGAAGAGTTAAATTATTTATAATATAATATTAAAATGAATGCTTAATTAGGATTAAGTTTATTAAGCATGTAAAGAACATATTTACAATCACAATAACCAACTTTGAATAAACATCTTTTTTAAAATCTAGTTGAACATACTAAGATGGATTATACAACTTTATTACAATTAGAACCAACAATCCCAATATATTTAAAATAATTGAAGAGATGGTCTCCTCGTAAAGAATTATATAAGCCAAAGAGATCATTAAGAAGTACTTCAAATGATGGATAACGAACTAAAAGAGCAAATAGTGTTTGTGAAAATAAATCATTAGATAAAAAATAAGAACCAATTGTTACTCATATATAACCATTGCCTTGCTTGATATAGAAGAAATAAAATATAAATAGTAAAGTTAAGATGTTAAACCAAAAACCGATATTAGTACCTAAATGTAAATCTAAGTAATAATATTGTGATCAAATGACTCTCACTCCGTGGTGAGTGTGGAAATTTCATTTTCGTTATTGCGATGAATTGCTTTCATTAATTTTTTGTTTTTCTCTTATTGAATCTTCAATCTCTCTACAGTTTTTCGTCCCAATTGAGGGTAATCAATCAATGAAGTTCTACGTATTCCTTATTTAATTGGTTATAAGACTCTTTCTTCTGTCTAGAGTCTAGTTCCACGACGAAAACACTTTTCAATTTAAGAATGAAGTGTCTGATTTCGTTAGAGCATTCCATTAAGGACAAACATTTTAAAGCGATCCAATCTGTTATACCTAAACTTTGCAGCTAAATTCACTAAATCTGAATAATGTTGGTCTTATGTAATGATGTCATAACAATCTAAGTGTTGATGTCTGCGTTAAGGTAATTATGATATGCTTCGCTATTTAGTATAGTAATCAACATCAGTTGACATATATGAATAAAATTAAATAAACTGAATAAAACCTATAGACAATAAAGAAATGTTTATTTGTTAGTGAAAAGAAGGAGTAACCCAAACTTCCACCTGAGGAGATGCTCAAATAAACTCAAGTCATTTTGAATCAATCCAAACACAAAGTCTAACTTAACAAAGATCCAAAATTCATAGATTCAAAAATTATAGTACAACAATAACTCAAAGAAAGACAATAAAAATTCAATTAAAAGTAATAATAACTCTAAGCAATTATGTAATCAATCAATGATACTGGTTTTATAGAATTTCATTTGATAAATTCAATGATGCAAAAACTCAATATTAAATATGATCAAATTAATTAATGTAAAGTTGTACTCTCTATAAATAATAAAATTAACTTTTATAGAAGATTTTCCAAGAAACCCTCTCAATTATAAGTGACTAAAATTAATGGATAATTATTAGATGATTATTAATAGTAAATCTATAAAATATTTAATACAAAAGAATAAATTCATTTTATATTTAAAAATGAAATGGAATTAAATATTAATGTTATACCTTATTAAATCAATAGATAAATATATAGAGAAGATAAAAATATTTATGAAGTCTTATTAATAGAAAATTAAATTGAAGAAGAATAAAATGAATAATAGTTTGTTGAATAATAAGTTAAAATTGATTAAAATTTTAAATTCTCATTTCTTAATCGTATCCAATAATTTAACCTTATGCATAATTAAAATATACCATCTGCATTGACACGATAATATAATATATATTTGATTCTTAGAGAATTAATTCTAGATGCCTTAGATTATAATTACATTAAATCCATTAATATTGTTCAAGATTAAATTATTATACATAATCTACCATCTTAAGCTTACAAAATATAACCTACATCTAATGAATCAGATTTCACTGAATAAAGTTCAGAAAATAAAATTAAAAAAATAGAAAAGAAAGTCAAAGCATAAGCCAAAAAACAAGAGAGATCAAAAAAATTAGAACATTTATAATTTATTACAACTGAATAATTAAAAGATTATAATGTTTAAATGATACCCCATAATTAAGGATATTAAGCTTAAAGAGCTATAAAGGATCATTTAAAAGAGACAACTAATGTTAATTTGTAAGCAGGATCAAAGATGGGAAAAGGTGGTATAGATAAATTGTAAAAAGGAGAGTATTTTTTAAAATAGAAAGGCAAATCATAAGAATATCATATTTGTTGGCTTGAATAAAGAGGATTTCATTTGGTTTGGTATCATATGAAAACTGATAAAGTGGCAAGAGGAATAGGATAATTGGATGATGCATTAATTAAAGATGAAGGATCTATTTATATTGTTAAATTGTTAGATAGAACTTTAACAATAAAATTAGAAAAACCATATGTTGGATAAATTTGGAGAAGATCCATATCCAATTAAATAGCATACAAAGCATATTTAAATAATCTATGGATGATTTGTAGATTATTTGATAAATCACCTTCTATTAGTATGGTAGATTATTTTTTCAATGAAAATCTTACAACTTTCAATATCTCTAATAATGCATTATAAATAGAAGGTATATAGAATGCATTACCCTTGTGTTACATAACAAAATATACTTAGATTATATTTGATAGTTTAATGAATCATAAGATTTATTAATTGATTTTATCTAATAGTCAATTAGGTCCAATTGCTACAATTTAATTGTTATAATATTTTAAGAAGAATAAGAATAGATTGAAATTAATTGATTTAAGTAATTGTTAATTGACAACATTGGTTATAAAGGAATTTGGAAGTTTTTTAATGAATTAAAATTCTTTTGCTTTAAATCATATATATTTGAATGATAATTAAGGGATTGGAAATGAAGGTATTGATATCATAGCTAATTGCATTTAATAAAGATATTTATAATTTTGGGATAATAGTACAAATAATTTAGAGAGTATTAGTCCAGGTTATAGAAGACATTAAATATCAAAGAAGGCAGATTCAATGGAATTAGAATTATTGACTTTAATGAACTTTAAAAATATTGGGGCAACTAATTTCAATGATTTATTTAATGCAATTGATGTGATGTTTGGTAAGGCATTAGAGATTCCATCATTGGAGAATGAATTATTTTTCAATAAATAAAAAACATTATCTAAAATAATAAAGAAATTAAAGAATAAAACAGGATAATATAATAGATATAATTTATAATTATTGAAAGATTTTTATGAAAATTCAATGGATCCAATAATAGAAATAATAAAGATACAATTAGATATATCTGATAATTAAATATAGAATATAGAATAATTGGGGGAATTAATAATAAAACATGATTGTTTTAGGAGTATTCATTTAAGTCATCTTGAATTAGATGAATTATTATAATTTACAGCTTGTTTAAAGAATTCTATATCTTTAGAATTATTGGATGTAAATTGTAATAAGATAAATGACATATAAGTGATATTATAAAGTTTGGATAAGAATACTAGTATTAAGACTTTGATTATTTCATAACAATTTATAGATTTGTAGAGTAGATTTGAAAATGTGGAAATGAATAATTAAGAGTTTTTTATAGCTGATGTATAATTGTTATGATAATTATTATTATATGATTTCTAATATATTGGGTAAAGTGAATTAAAAATTGACATGGATGGTAGGAATAACAATAGCTGCAATAGGAGGGGGATTGTTATTTTGGAAGAGACAACCAAAACTAAATTAAGAGATTGATCTATCTGAATATTCTGAGGAATTTAAAGAAGCTGCAAGGAAAGGGAGAAGTTTAGTAGGTTTAAGTTAACCAGATTAATTATGGTTATATAGTTTATACAAATAAGCAACAGTTGGGGATTGTAATGTTCCAGAACCTATGCGTTTACATTTATAAGATCATGCAAAATGGACTGCATGGTCAAGATGTAAAGGAATAAAAAAAGTAGATGCAGAGAAATTATATATAAAATAAATACAAGAATATTTAGATAAGGGTATTGAATGTGATACAGGTAGTGTTTAGAATTCTTAATTTGGAATGAAAGTAAGTACTATGAAGAATGCAGAACATGATACTAATGAAGCATTTATTGAAAAGATGAATAAAACAGGTTAAAGTATTGAATAAGTTTTATAATTGAATGAAAAAGAATAATAAATATTTTAAGAGATTTAAGATTCAATTGAAAATACTGAAAAATTAAATGAATTATTATAGACATATAATGATGTAAAATATTTGTAATGTGAAAATGAATAAAAAATTAAATTAATTCATTAAGTTGTAGATATTGAGAATATTGAAGCTTTAAAATTATTGATACCATATTATAAATAACATAATTTAATCAATATATAGGAAAGTGTATCAGGAATGACTGCATTACATTATGGTTGTCTATCTGGAAATAGAGAAATAGTAGAATTACTATTAAAAAATGGAGCTGATCCAAATATTAAAGATTTTTCTGGAATGGATTGTTTTGAAACTATAGATGCTGAAAATAAATAATGGTTAGAATAATAATTGTGAATATTAAATGTGCTTATAATAAGTTTAAATTGCCACGTATAATATATTAATTGATTAATAATGACTCAAGTTAAAGTGGATAGAATGTGTAGTGTCTATGTAATTCCTGAAGATGCACCTATGAGTTAATAGGAAATAGCAAAAGCATTTGATACAGGGAAATTTGAAGATAAATTAAAAGTAGATATCTATATTCTATAAATTAGGCATTAAAATCACTTGTTATTTAGATTATACATGATGAATCATTTCCTAGAATGGTAATGAATGTAATTAATTCACTTGTACCATTATCAGATGAGACACATTCATTAAAAAAGATTCTACTCTTTTATTGGGAAGTCATTGAAAAAACTCATCCAAATGGTTCATTAAAAGAAGAAATGATTCTAGTATGCAATAGTTTAAGAAAAGATTTATTGCATCCAAATGAATATATTAGAGGAAGAACACTTAAACTATTGAGTAGAATTTAATTGCGTGTATTATTGATCATAATTAATAAAATAGGGTATATTGGAACCATTATAAACAGCAATTGTAGAAAATGTTAATCATAAACATGTATATGTGAGAAGGAATGCAATAGTGTGTTTATATGAAATATTTCTAAATTTTGGAGATGATTTAATATCAGATTTAGATGAACTTATGGAAAAATTATTATTAAATGAAACAGATTTATCAACTAAAAGAAATGCTTTTTTATTATTATTTCATGCAAATTAATAAAAAGCACTTGATTATTTAAGCATTAATTATTCAGATGATAGTAATTAATTTGGAGATATATTATAATTATCTATATTAGAATTATTTAGAAAGGTTTGTAAAAAAGATCCATAATAAAAACCTAAATTATTAAAATCTATATATTAATTTTCAAAATCTAAATCAGCATCTGTTTAATATGAATGTGCTAATACACTTTTTGCTGTATCACCTAGTTTAGCTTCATTAAAAATTGCTGTTCAAATTTATATGTCTTTGATTAACACTTAAACAGATAATAATATTAAATTAGTAATTTTGGATAGATTAGAAGCTGTAAATTAATTGAATCCTAGAGTCTTAGAAGATAGAACTTAAGATTTATCTTAATTATTAAATTAATAGAGTATAGATATTAGAAGAAAAGTGTTAAGATTATTTTAATTGAAACATGAAAATGTTGTATTATTAGCTTAATCATTGTAAAAAGAATTTCAAAAATGCTAAAATTTAAATGATTAATCTGAATACAAAGTATTAATGTTATAATTGATTAATCCTATGATTCATAAATTCCCTTAAGTTCATGAAGTTGTAGCTTAAACATTTATTGATTCTATCATATGTAACAATAAAATGGATGATTAATGTGCTCAATTAGCTGGATAAACACTTGTTAAATTAGTATAATTATCTGATTAACCTATTCAACATAAAATTGTAACTGCACTTTCTAATCGTTTCTTGGATATTCATCATATGGAATTATATAAAGCAACATTTACTATTCTTGGAGATTACAGTGTTAATCCTATTAGATCATTCAATCAAATTAAAAAAGCTATAGGAAATTTACCTCTTGAACATGATAAAGTTGTTGCAAAATAAGAAGATGAAAATAAATAGGTAGTCAAAACTGTGATATTACCAGATGGTACTTATGGTACATAAGTTATTGAAAAGTAAGATAATGAAGAACATGTATCTAAATTAAGAGAATTATTAATGTAAAACTCTTTCCTTGCATCTTCTTTGAGTAGAGCTTTTATGAAATTATTATCCAAGATTTAAGAATTCAATAAATATTCTAGTTAGATGTTATTAATTTTCTGTTCACTCTTGCGTTATTATTAAAAGAACACAGCAAAAATTGATCAAGATACTTTAGAAACTATAACATCTAGTATAAGAATCTTAACTGGCAAGAATCCATAAGATAAATTGTAAGAATAATATAAAAAATCTGATGTTGTTCCTGAATTAAATATTCAATTTGGATCTCATCAAAATTATGATAAAATTCTTAAATAACCTGATGATCCTATTATTATTAGATAATTAAAAGGAATATCTGAATTTAATGAAATTGATTTAGCAGATGATGAAACATCTATTGCAATTAAATAAGAAGAAAATACTTATGTATCTAGATTAGGACATATAGTATAATTAACTGGTTATTGTGATCCTATCTATGCTGAAGCATTTGTTAATGTTCATAAATATGATATACAATTTGAAGTTCTCATGGTCAATAGATGGTCTAAGATGGTTTAAAATGTATAAGTAGAATTTAGAACTCAAGGAGAAAGCAAAGTTATAGAAAAAGCATAAGGTGTCATTTTACAACCTAATTAATCAGCTAGAGTTAGAACAACAATAAAGTTCTCATCCTAAGATATTGGAGTTGTTTATGGAGCTATTCATTATGAAAATAATGCAGGAATTGAATAAGCTTATTTAGTAACCAAAGAAATTAATGTAGATTTAATTGATTTCATAATACCTGCTACTGTTTAGATTGAATAATTCAGAAAGTTATGGGCTAAATATGAATGGGAAAATAGGATTGTAATAAATACTAATTAAAAGTAATATTATATATATATAATGTAGTGATCCATTTAAATATGTTTAATTCTTAGAAAAATAATTGAAAGCCAAATCTATTGTAGAAAACCATCCTTAAGGTAATATTATTTGTGTTAATATGTATGCACAGACAAAATTTGGTATGAATTTATAATTTTATAATTATAGATGATGATTTCTTAGTTAATGTAAGTGCTGAGGTTGTTAATGATAAATTATAAGGATTTGTAAGAGTTAGAAGTAAAGTTAAAGAAATCGTTGTTAATTTGGGAGATAAAATTAAAGTGTTATAGACTAAGATTGAATGAAATACACATATATAATTTTATTTCAGATTAAATAATAATATAATCAGTCATTATTATATAGTATATTAATAAATGTCGAAACTTAAAAGAGGATTAACAAAAGATTTTGAGAAGGAACAGGAAGATCAAGCATTAGCAAAAGAAGAATTATTTTAAGTATAAATGAAATCACAATAATAACAAGCCCGTTGTCTAAATCTATCAAGATTATCAATATTTATCAGATGAATAAATCGATATTATTGCTAAAATATTATAGGTTATTGATTTTTTTAAAGAAAATTGTCCTGACACATAAACGTTAATGGAATTTACAAAATTATGTTGCCAAAACCTTATTTATGAATTCATACCAAAAGATTCTCCTGTGTTTCATATTGGTAGATATTGGCATCATATGTAGATGATGTTGGTGATAAATTTTATATTGTATTAAGTGGCAGAGCAGGTATCTATATCAGAAGACAACCAGCATCTATTGAAGCTGATGAAGCAGCTGCTTAACCAAGAATATTAAAGATGCTTGAAAAGATGCATTTAGAATCTATTTCATAATTATAAGGTGAAGAATTAATGAAATTCTATGGTTAAGTTATTAAAAAATAGGCTAAACCATAAAAAGTAATAGATTCTGAATTAATATTATTTCGATCTTAAAACTTTGATAAATATTTCACAAATTAAGGAATATGCAAATTTATGTTAGTGGCTTAAAAATAGTCTGGAACAATCTTTGGAGAAATGGCATTAACAAATGATAAACCTAGAACTGCAAGTATATTTGGTTTAACTGATTTAAAATTGTTATCCTTATCTAAAGCTAATTTTAAGGTAATTTAATAAAATAACTATAGTAAGTTGGAGAAAAAGGAATGAAAGCATTATAATAAAAGATAGATTATTTCTTAAAAATGTTTCCACATATGACGAAACACAAAATGTCTAAACTTATTTTATATTTTACATCTGCCAAATTTCCAGCTAACTTTTTTATTTGGAAATAAGGAGATGAAACAGATGGATTCTTATTATTAAAAGATGGAGAAATGTAATTATTATAAAATGTTGAATTTCCAAAACCACCTAGTTAAAATAATGTAGATTTTACATTAATGTCTTTATTCTAAAGTTCTAAATAAGAAATTAAAGATATTAAAGAAACAATCATCTTAACTAATTTAACAGGAGGATGTTTTGTTGGGGAAACAGAAGTTGTCTAAAAAAAAGAAAAAAGAGATTATTCTGTAAAAACATTAACTATTTGTAATTGTTATTGTCTCTCATTAGAAGTAAAATATTATAATTATTATTTTGAGAATTATCATATTGTTAGGAAAACATTTCCAGAATTCTTTTAAGCTTTAAATTCTTTATAATAAAGAAATAGTTAATTATTTAGGAGGAGAATAGAAGATATTGTAAAAACTAAGAGTTGTAACTTCTATTTAACAAAAAAGGAAGAAGCATTAGCTGTAGAAAGAAGATATGCAAATGAATTTGGTAAAGATGAAGCTAAACCATTTTTATCATCTCCTATTCTACGTTCTACATTTTAATCAAAACTTTCTAAATAGCAAATGGTTGAATAAAATAAATCTATTATTGATTAACATACTAAATTAGATGAATAATTTGGTGAAAAATAAGAGGAATTTAATATGCTTAAATTGGCAGGAGATAATTTCTAAAAATGCCTTTTGATAAGAGTTGAAAAGTAATTTGAATAATTTTAACCAGCAAAACCAAAGTATATATACATATATTATTTAGAGCCAAAACACCATATTTTAGTAAATAAAATAGCACTGTTAAAGATATCTTATAATCAGTTCGACTTAAGTAATTCCCTTCTTTTGCAACAAATAGAGATCAATTTTCTATTAGGTAATCAAATGAAGAAGATTCTTAATAATTACCTTAAATTAAAGTAGCTAAATAACATATAAGAGTTGTGAATCCAAATATTTCATCTAAAGTAGATATCATTAAATCAAATTATTAATCATTTATGAAATCTAAATCAATGAGTTCTAGATTAGATAGATTATCAGAGAATTAAATGTAAGGATTTATGTTAACAGATTCTATTAATACTTATCATCCATTACATAGTTTTTAAAATAAAGATGATTAAACTAAACATAAAAAAAGAGTTAAGACATAATCTAAAGTTGAATATGATTATTAAAAATCAATATTATGATATAAATATTTAATTTTACAAATACTCTCATATCAATTAATAGTGTATTATTTTAATACTATTCAAATTTATTTTGTTCATAATACATACTCTTTTATTCAAAATCTTTTTTTTGAATTAATAAAAAAATATATTTATCAATAGATATATTGGAATAACACATCAATTTTATGTCTAATAATAATTTTTAGAATTTTGAACAATAAAATACAATTATATACTTTGAAAATAGTGATTAAAAGTACAATATTCATACTTAATTATTAAAACTGTCATATAAGTAAATAATATTTCTTTAATTATGAATTTTGAATCAAAACAAAGTTTTAAACCATTACTTTCTAATAAATCTTAACACTTCTATTATCTATCTTTCTAATACATTTTATGATAATTATTTATCTAATTTAGATTACATTCTATATTAAATTCATATCAATTTTATAGATTCATTAAAAATCAAATTTAATTTAGAATAGTTAATTCTAAAATAGGGATTATAATTAAGTTGTTAATTGATTAACATATTTTTGAAGGAATAGTTTTAGGTTAAGAATCAACAGAATTTCAATAAATAATAAAATATATAAAAATTATATAAATATTATATAAATTTCAATATAAAAATCAAAATTCTGAAATTTTTTATGCAATTATTAAAATAAATCAAAATCATATAGGATGGGAATAATTAAAATGAATTTTGCAATTGGATTCACTGCTTTATGCTTTTAAGCATTGGTCCTTTATCCTTGTCATGAAACAATCTCAGAATAAGTTGATAAATTAGAGAAAAACATTGTAAGATTGGAATAGATGGAAGTAGAATTAAAGACTCATATGGAGAGAAATCAGCATTTGATTAAACAAAGAATAATAATGAATGGAAAAAATATATGATGTGATTTTTATACATTAGTGTTTTTTATATTTAAAATATAAATAATGTTATCCTAAAAATAGTAGCAATAATATAAATAATCTTAAATAGACAATTTTATGGAGGCTATTACATACTAAAGAAGGAAGAAAAAGCTATAATTAGGAGGTTTGATCTAAAAATAGAACTATACTAATGATTTCTAGAATTAAATGGAAAATATCTTCCTTCAAAGCATAAAAATAGATTGAAGAGAAATTAATTATTAAATTAAGATAAACTTAGCAAAAATCATGGTTCTTCCTAAATTGAACATGTTTGTTGGAATCTGCGCATTAAGCTTTTAAGCCTTTGTGCTTTACCCTTGGCATAATGTGATATCCGAATAAGTTGAAAAATTGGATAAAAATATTAGAATACTAGAGATTATGCAGCAATAACTTGTAAAGGAAGCTGAGCAACTACAAAAATTGAATCCAATTTGATACATATTCATGTATTTCTTTCAATATCACAATATGTTTTTTATATAATCTATTTTCTTTATTGACTCTATTTTTAGATGTAATATAATTCAAATTATTTTGGTAGTTAAAATCAAATTCTTATAAGTCAATTCTGTAACATTATCGATGAATAAAGACAATACCAATCTAATAGAGAGCAATAAATAAGATTAGAGATCATGATCAATTTGTAATGTAGATAATACATTACACATATTGGAAATATATTAGAATACAATAATAAGAATATGTTAATTTGTTTTAATGTATATTTACATTAAGAATCTAATTCATATGAATTGTAAGAATGAGTTTAGAGATAGCAAGATATTTTATAGAATTAGATTGAAAAATCTGCTTAATTAAAATTTTTATAAAAGAATAATTATATATATATATATTTGATCATATTATAAAAGAAGTGCACATGTAATATTTGTGATAATAATTAATAAGTTAATGTTATATAATTACTTATAATTCAATTTATAATTTTATGAATAAAGGAGAATAATCTCAATATTTATTAGAGTAAAGTAATAATACGAAATCATTTGCTGAAAGTATATTTATTTATGTGATTTAGACTCTTCTCCAAATAAAAGTTTAGTGCAATATTCAATTATATAGGCAATGCTTGAATTCAAAATAAAGGAACATCCAATCCAACCAGGAGAATTGATAAATAGTTCAATAGTTGAAGAAGCTCCTCGTTTTTTGGAAAGAGGAGCTGATTACTCTTCTAAGATGCATGATAATGAAAATATAATGTTTAACAAACAGAAGCCAAGTCAGAGAATGAGTCATGTATATCCTTCTTATATGTCTGAAAATTCTATATAGATTGATTAGGATAAAATAGAAATGATTGAACATACTTACTCTGTTGAATAATTACAAAAGATTTTGAAAACAAACATCTAAGATGGATTGAATGATTAATAAGTCTAAGAGAAAATTGCAAAATTTGGTTTAAATAAAATTACTAGCAAACATGCAAATGTCTAATTAAAAGAAGTGTTTAACTTATTTACATTAGCATTAGTTATAGCTATTGTATTATCATTAATTGGATATTTGTATGATGAGAAAGAGCATATTTCATTTCTAATTGAAATTATGAGTTTAATAGCAGTTCTAGTATTCACACATATAATAACATTTACATCATATTAAAAAAAAAAGAAACTCTTTTAGTAATTCAATCAAATAATAACAAATGATGAAGTGATTGTTATTAGAAATGGTTAAAAATAAAAAATATCATCAGAATAATTAGTAAAAGGAGATCTAATTGAATTGAATTCTAATTATAAAGTACCAGCTGATTGTAGAATCATATTATCCTAATAATTAAGTGTTGATAATTTTATATTCACAGGAGATTGTCAACCAATTTTATTGGAATCAGAAGAAAGCAATCACAAATCTATATTTGAAGCAAGGAATGTTGCTTTCTTAGGAGTAGGTTGTGTTTTTGGAGAAGGAAGAGCCATAGTCATAAATACTGGAAATTAAACTATATTAGGGAAATTAGCAAAAAATATAGATGTTCCAATGTCTAATTCATATATTGATTTTTAAGTCAAGAAGTATTTTATTTTAAATTATTAAGAATTATATAGATTACTACTCTGATAATATTTTCATTTATTATTATTACAATCATTGGATGGATATTAGAAGAATATAAAAATGGATAATATGATTTCACATTTCTAATAAATACAATCATTATCATCATTCTATCAAAGTATCAATTCATAATATATATATATCTAGTCTTCCATTCACTTTGATGTTATTGATATCTTATTCTAAGAGAAAGATAGTTTCAATCATGCAAGATCAAAGTATATTATTGAAAGATGTTGACGTTATTGAAAGTCTTACTTAAATGAGTTTATTATTGATCAATAAGGAAGCTGTTTTAGTGTAAGGATAACAACCTAAGAAGATAATCCTTGATAATCAAGTATATCACATTAATAAAATAAAAAACTATCAAAGTATTTTAATATTATATACTAAATAGGTTTACTTAATTGTATCCACTATTGTATATATCAAGAAAATTATTCATTAGAAGAATCTTATAATAAATAAGATATTTAATAAATAATGAGACAATTTATTAGGGATTATAGAATTGATGATTACAAAATTATATAATAGAGACAATTTACAGCAATAGAAAGATATTGTTTGACAATAGTATAGAATATGTAATTCAAATCTTAATATATTGTTTATTTAATGGGTTCTCCTGAAGTCATTGCATAAAAGTTATTTAGATCAGGAAGTTAAGAAGATATTGAATATTTAAATTCTCATAAAAATTTAGCAAAGAAGGGTTATTCATTGATTTCATTTGCTGAAAAAGTCTTAATCTTAGATGAAAATTATAGATTTGATATAGCAAACACAAATGAATTCAATTTTAATTTGAATCATGCAACAAATTTAGGTACTATTGCTTTAAAATTGACAATCACTCCTATTATTAGAACAGTATTATAGAAATTAAATTTATCTGGAATTAGAGTTGTATTAATGTAATATATTTACATATAAAAAGGACTGGTGATTTTCCTGAAACTGCAGAATATATTGCTTAAGAATCTCAATTAGTTTGTAATCCAAAAATAGTTACAGGTAATGATTTAGAAGATCATGAATAATTTGATGAGGATTAATAATAAAATAAGTAGGCAGATGAAGAATCAATAAATACAAAACTATGTACATAATTAAATACAATATATGCAAGAATAAATCCAGCATAAAAATTAATGGTTATATCTGCTTTTTAAAAACAAGGATATAAAGTTGGAATGATTGGTTTTGATACAATTGATTCACCTGCTTTAAGAAAATGTGATGTAAGTTTTGCATTGAATAGATCTGATGAATTGGCTAAATAATCTTCAAAAGTTATTTTGATTAGTAATTAATAATAAGAATTAGAATAAATATTGAAATGTATTTATCATGGAAGAAGATTTACAGATAATTTAATAAAATAAATTAAATTATGTTTAAGTAATAAATTTGGTCAATTCATCCCAATACTATTAATGCTATTTTTAGGAATTCCATTGCCATTAACTAGTTTTGGAATATTATATATAACTTTTGTGTTGGAAATTCTTGTATTAGGAGTATTGAATGAAAATGAAGAAGTTGATATTATAATTAGAGAACCAAGTAATGTTAAAATATTTATGAAACTCCAACATTTTTTAAGATGGATTCTAACTCATGGAGTATTAGCTGCATCATCAGGTATGATGAGTTATTTAGTAACAATGCATTATTTTGGATTTTAAAGTAAATCATTACCTGGAATTATTTATAAAACTGGATATTCAAATTAAATATATAATTCTACTGATTTCTATAATTTTAATTCTTCAGATTAATATTTAGGTAATCTTAATTTAATCAATCCTTAACCATTATCATAAAATCCTTTTATCACTTTCTAATTTTATAAACATTTCAATAAAGAAGCATAATTTGACTTCAGAAATGTTATTGTCAAATATAATGAAACAGATTTATCTTGGTTTACTAATTTTATCACTAGTAATTCTGATATTTGTAAATTAAATGACTCTGAACTTTGTTATTCATATTTATCATTGGATATTGCTTAATTAGGATTTATTTATGGATTTATTATGTGGGGATGGCTTCATGTTTTTCTTGGAAGAACAAGGATTCTATCATTTAGATATTAGAAATTAAATAAAGTAATTATAAATTTATTAATTTTTGTAGAAGTTAACTTATTCATATTTAATTTCACTATTTTTAGTATTACTCATGTATATACCTTACATGATATATTATTTTCCAGATAAAGATATTAATTTCATTGGTGTTATAGGTTTACCCTGCACTCCTATTTTAATATTATATTTTTGTTTCAATGAAATTACTTCATAGAGAAAATTAAGAAAGTTAAAGAAAATTTTATGATCATTTTATAACTTATAAGTATTGTTCATATCTTTCAAACATTACATCTATTTCTATATTATTAGACATTGCACATATGCCAAATCTAATCCACAAGAGTTTATTATGAAAAGTTTTCATACATCTTAAATGTGTCCATTGGTAATATGTCTGGCTCAAAAAAGAAACCATATGCAATTACAGCAGTCATTAAAATGAATGCTATTGCAGTATTGGCTTTTCGATGATTATAATACTTTCTTTTTCATTTTTAAATATTTTACCTCTAAATACCAATCTAGTATAAGCATTCTGTTGCTCTTGCAAACAAATAAACCCTTAAGATATTTTGAACATGGGGCTTTTAAGTTATAAAACTCAATCCTCCTGCAATAAAACCAGATATTGCAGCATTCCAACCATCTTCTTTATTTCGAATTGTTCTCAAAAGACATTATATACATTTAATTAAAAATGTTTATGTACCCATAAATAATCCTAAATGAAAATTAGTTCTATGATTTATTGAATTTATATTACCTATTGATTAAAATTTGAAACACCAATTTGATTTTATTTTGTGATTTGATAATCTTCTTAGAACTCATAACTAACATTATGGCATTTAAACAAAGTTTTGCTAAAAATGCCTTAGTGAATGCCTCTACTAAACCTCTTGACATATTCATTACACAAGAATTCTTATGTTTACAAAAAGGGGTTGTAGAATAAAGTAACTTACATAAGTATTTTAATGTATTAGATTTTCTTTACATTTTATATACTATTAATTTATTTTATAGAAATTCATATATTTTATATATCTTTACTATAATTGACTACTCTTTTATAATTCTGCTTTTTCTATTTTACTAATTTCATTACTTTTTATTTAGTTTTTGAATTCTCTTTTTTTCTTTTTTTCACCCATTTAATTAATTATCAATCCTTACTTATTAAGATATTGTACAAATAAATTGTGATAGAGATCAAATGAAATTATTTTTCTTAATCAAGATTATAAGATAGTATATTTTTATTCAATA